AAATATTTCCTGCCAGACCTGAGAGGCCATCATGTGTTGGTTCGTACGGACAACACGTCGGTGGTTTCATATATCAACCATCAGGGGGGTATGAGGTCACGTCACTTTTGCAAGCAGGCCCATCAGATCCTCCTATGGGCCTAGGGGAAGTTGCTATCTCTCAGAGTAGTTTACATTCCGGGGCGTCAGAATGTGGGAGCAGATATACTGTCAAGGCAGGGGCTGAGGCCCGGGGAGTGGAGACTTCACCCCGAGGTGGTGGAGCTCCTGTGGGAGAAATTTGGTCGTGCTCAGATAGACCTTTTCGCATCCTCAGATACAACCCATTGTCCCATGTGGTTCTCTCTCACGCACCCAGCTCCTCTCGGACTGGATGCGATGGTGCAGGTGTGGCCGAGGCTGCATCTGTATGCATTTCCCCCGATATCGTTGCTCCCGGGGGTTCTTGAGAGGGTTCGCCGGGAAGGGGCCCGTCTGCTACTAATAGCCCCTTACTGGCCGACTCGAGTTTGGTTCTCGGACTTGGTGTCTCTTCTGAAATGGAAATTATTCTCCACCTGGTGTGGTGAGCGTCAGTTAGATCCTGTTAACTGCCCGGTTGGTTCAGTTCTCGATTTTCTGCAAGACCGTTTCTCTGCTGGATTATCTCCTTCCACCTTAAAAGTTTATGTGGCGGCTATTTCGGCCTATCATACCCCTCTGGGGGGTACTTCTATTGGGAGAGATCCTCTGATTACTCGTTTTCTCCGTGGTACATTGAGGTTAAGACCTGCACTGCACTCTAGAGCACCGGCTTGGGATTTAGCCATTGTACTTGAGGGTCTGGCTCTGGCTCCCTTCGAGCCTATTGAAGAGGTTTCAGAAAAATTCCTCACTTTGAAAGCTTTATTTCTCCTATCAAGAGAATTTGAGATTTGCATGCCCTGTCGGTTGCTCCCTCATGTCTGGAATTTGCACCTGGTATGGTGAAAGCATTTCTATACCCTAGACCGGGTTATATTCCTAAGGTCCCAGTTAATGTTGGGGGCCCAATAGTGTTGCAGGTCTTTTATCCTCCACCTTTTAATACCCCAGATCAGGAACAACTGAACCTGTTATGTCCAGTTCGGGCATTGGATGCCTACGTTCACAGAGCTGCCCTGTGGCGTAAGTCAGAGCAGTTAGTTGTATGTTTTGGGTCACTCAGAAGAGGGTGCCCTGCATCTAAACAGGTTATGAGCAAATGGATAGTCGAGGCTATATCATTGGCCTATGAAGCGGCCGGTCAGCCTTCACCTATGGCTGTACGGGCCCATTCTACAAGGAGTATGGCGGCCTCTACGGCCTTAGTTTCGGGTGTTTCCCTTCTTGACATTTGTAATGCGGCAGGATGGTCCTCTCCGCATACATTTGTCAGGTTTTATGACCTTGACCTCTCCACTCCTGGGGCGAGGTTGCTTGCTTCTTAGTGTGCGCCTAGGACTTCACACAGAACGGGCATTTGTCACTATGGCGTAGTGGGTATGGGGTTCCCACCGCGTCTCAAACGCAGCTCGAGTTCCCTTGAAAGGGAACGTCTCAGGTTACGTATGTAACCCTGGTTCCCTGATAGGGAACGAGACGCTGCGTTTGCCTGCCATACTTCCTGCATACCCTGATCGACTTACTTCAGACTTTTCAGAAGCTGGCGCGGTCTGTTTTCAAGGGTGCTTTATAGTTTCCTGGTCTATGACGTCACCTATGACGTATCGGGCTTCCATTGGACTGATTTTACACGTGCTTCATGACGCAATCACGCAGAGCGTTCCCACCGCGTCTCAAACGCAGCGTCTCGTTCCCTATCAGGGAACCAGGGTTACATACGTAACCTGAGACGTTTTACAGAGTGTTTTCAATTTGTTCTTCATTAGGGTGAATGTTTTTAATGTCTTTCAGTGAATATTAATATTAAATATTTCTGTCCTGGTGAACATGGTGAGCTGGTGGGAATCACATTCACACATGTAAATAGAAGGTATGTAAACCATCCTTTACTTTATTTCTTCATAATTTCCAAATACTGATAAAAACAAAAACCATGAAAAAAAAAAAAACATCTCCATATATTCAACATTCAATAAACTGTACAACCATTTTCGAAGAAGAAGAAATGTTTCTTGAGCACCGAACCATCATATTAGAATGATTTCTGAAGGAACATGCTGAAAATTCAGCTTTGTCATCACAGGAATAAATTACATTTAAAAATATATTCAAATAGAAAACTTTTATTTTAAATTGTAGTGATATTTCACAATATTACAGTTTTTTTCAAATAAATGCAGTAAAAAATATAATAAAAAACAAACAAACAAATACTACCTACCCCTCTGGCGGCCCAAGCCCCTGCCCTTTTTCAAAATGAATCAAAAGTACCTTTCTCAACAATTATATTGTGGCCAATAAAACAAATACATTTTAATTATAATTAATATGACAACATGTACAAAACAGTAACGAATCGCTCAAAAGTCGGAAAAATTCCTGTTTACTTTACGTATCTGCCATCAGACAGTCTGAGACATCGTTGCCATAATGCGTCAGTAGTTGCATATTCATAACTGTGACCGCACAGTCTGTTTACAAAAGCGATTGAGAACTGCAGACCATATACACTCACCTAAAGGATTATTAGGAACACCTGTTCAATTTCTCATTAATGCAATTATCTAATCAACCAATCACATGGCAGTTGCTTCAATGCATTTAGGGGTGTGGTCCTGGTCAAGACAATCTCCTGAACTCCAAACTGAATGTCAGAATAGGAAAGAAAGGTGATTTAAGCTATTTTGAGCGTGGCATGGTTGTTTTTGAGTATTTCCAACGCATTCTCATCCTTTGGCGTCATATAGGTGACACCATATGACATTTCGTCAAAATCTTGCGCACATGGCATCCTTTAGCGTCAATATAGCACGCACTGTTATGGGTAGGTTTAGGTCTGGGGTAGGGTACGGTTATGACGCCTTGGGATCTGCGTCTCATATTGACGCTAAATGATGCCATGTGCCTCGGATTTAGACGAGCGTCACCTGTATGACGCCTTGCGTTCTACGTCGCATATTGATGCTAAAGGATGCCATGTGCGTAAGATTTCGACGAAATGTACAAAGCGTCACATGTATGACGCCAAAGGATGAGAACGGGCTGGTATTTCACAATCTGCTCAGTTATTGGGATTTTCACGCACAACCATTTCTAGGGTTTACAAAGAATGGTGTGAAAAGGGAAAAACATCCAGTATGCGGCAGTCCTGTGGGCGAAAATGCCTTGTTGATGGTAGAGGTCAGAGGAAAATGGGCCGACTGATTCAAGCTGATAGAAGAGCAACTTTGACTGAAATAACCACTCGTTACAACCGAGGTATGCAGCAAAGCATTTGTGAAGCCACAACACGCACAACCTTGAGGCGGATGGGCTACAACAGCAGAAAACCCCACCCATCTCCACTACAAATAGGAAAAAGAGGCTACAATTTGCAAGAGGTCACCAAAATTGGACAGTTGAAGACTGGAAAAATGTTACCTGGTCTGATGAGTCTCGATTCTGTTGAGACATTCAGATGGTAGAGTCAGAATTTGGCATAAACAGAATGCGAACATGGATCCATCATGCCTTGTTACCACTGTGCAGGCTGCTGCTGGTGGTGTAATGGTGTGGGGGATGTTTTCTTGGCACACTTTAGGCCCCTTAGTGCCAATTGGGCATCGTTTAAATGCCACGGCCTACCTGAGCATTGTTTCTGACGATGTCCTTCCCTTTATGGCCACCATGTACCCATCCTCTGATGGCTACTTCCAGCAGGATAATGCACCATGTCACAAAGCTCGAATTATTTCAAATTAGTTTCTTGAACATGACAATGAGTTCAATGTACTAAAATGGCCCCCACAGTCACCAGATCTCAACCCAATAGAGCATCTTTGGGATGTGGTGGAACGGGAGCTTCGTGCCCTGGATGTGCATCCCACAAATCTCCAACAACTGCAAGATGCTATCCTATCAATATGGGCCAACATTTCTAAAGAATGCTTTCAGCACCTTGTTGAATCAATGCCACGTTGAATTAAGGCAGTTCTGAAGGTGAAAGGGGGTCAAACACAGTATGAGTATGGTGTTCCTAATAATCCCTTAGGTGAGTGTATGTCTCTCTCTGCGATTGCTAGTGTGTTGATTAATTTAAAAATAAAGCAAATATTATTGATCTGACTGTACTGACACTGTTGTATGTGAACGGAACTGAGCTGGACGATGACTTCATCAGAACTGCTTTATAGATGAAATGAACTCATTTAATAATTGATGATCTTTACAATGGATCTGAATCAACACTGAACTGACTTTAGCTGAACAACAGCTGAAATGCATCCTTTTTCCTGTTTATGACTGTAAAGTTGCTTTGAAACAATCTGTATTGTATTAAGCGCAATATAAATAAAGGTGACTTGAGTTAAAAAACATTACATATTTTAAAAATATTACATAATTAATCAATGCCCGTTTGTCTCATATTATACACCAACCAATCATGATATGGCACAACAATCTCAAATTTCATTGGACAATGTGAAGTGGTAGTTTTTAGAATAATTTTTATTATTAATTAATTTCTTTATTTATTAACAAAGGTGAAATATCTAAAAGAAGACGAGTATTGTTCTTTACAATCCGAATGGACTGAAGAATGTGCATTTATGGAGTGATCTGGATCTGCGGTTTGTCTCATTTTACAATTGGATTGCATCACTTAGAAATCGGATGTGAATTGACCACAAAGCACAAGTAGTTTTCAATTTACACTTATTTATGTACTGCATATTAAATTAGCTTGATGAAACTATTATAGTTGGATAAATTGCCAAGTGTCATCAAACAGATACCCCATTCTATTTCTGATGTTGTTCCTCCTGTTGTTCTTTGAACGCCCCCATTGAGAAACGCTAATCTAGAAAAATTAAATGACAATGACAGAGATCACTTACAGCTTCCGAACTTCAGTGGGCAGGCATGGGCATCCATGGGAAAATCTTCCAGATGCATGGGGCACTCAGCATGGATGGTTAATCTATGTAGAGAGGAACAGACACATAGAGAGCTTTAAAGTCAGCATTAATGAGACTAGAAATAGGATGTTAATGTTTAAAAAAAAATCATGCCTTATTGTCACATTTAGTAAATTAGAGTTGGGCGATAATATAGTTTACATTTTGCGATGATACAAGCAATCAAGGAGTTGAGATATCTCTATAGTATCGCTGAAGCGAGTATACTCTCATAAAGCTGGACATACTTATATATCCACCTTTATATAAAGATCTGGGCAAAAATTGTATATAGTGAAACAGCACTGACTTCCACATTTGAGGAGGCTTTTTGACTGGAATGTGGAGGATGAAGGTCAGGTTCACCCTCTAGATCTGTACAGTATTAAGTCTTGCTTTCATTTGCTATTAAATATTAGCAATAACAAAATGCAGTTCATATGCATATGTGCAAAATTGTCAGGATCCTGTGATTTCTCATGCCTTTTATTTTGAAATTCATGTGTTCATGTTCATTTGTAGTTCTGTCCTTGGTCTTTGTAGTTCTTTTGCTCTTTGTAATTAGCTCCAGGTGTTATTGTTTCAGTAAGCTATTTAACCTTGTGTCAATCCTTGCTTTTTGGTGGATTATTGTTTGTTCGCTTTCTCCTAAATTGAGAGCGTCATGTATCTATTCTTGGCTAAGTCAATGGCTAAGTGTCATGTCATGGTTATCATCGTCAAGTCATGAAATATGTATCATGTTTGAGCCATTAAACCATCTTTTATCTGTATTTAGATCCAGTAATCTTCCTTTTGTTTCTGAGGCTTTGTTACAGATTTGTTTCATGCTTGTACTGAAAATCATTTCGAATTTCATTGACTGAAATATGTTTAGTAGTGATGTGACGTTCGGCACCGAGGCTTCGAAGCTTGTATAAAAAAAACGAAACATCTCACATGAACCAATGTACCGGAGCTTGATTCGTTTTGCCATAACCATGTGATCAGTGACGTCCGAAGCTTCGTTTCGACACACAACCACGTGACTGCTTCATATTCTGATTCAAAAATAGTGCAAACCCATTGCGCAGGTTTCGAGTGTCATGCGCTTCGGTAGTGAAAAGAGGCCGTTCGGAAGTCTGGCAGCATTTTCATGTCGTATCAAGTCCCATGTGAGAGAATATTCTCAAAGGCAGGGGAAGTAGTAAATAAAAAAAGAAATAGACTTAGCCCTCACACTGTTGAACAAGTCCTGTTCCTTAGTAGAAAATCTTTAATTTCTTCAATTACACAACTCCCCAGTTCACAAGCACTTTCACTACCCAGCCTTTCACCATTCCACAATAGCTCTCTTTTATTTTGATTAAACAGTATGCCTAAATGAGCCTTGCCTATGAACTCATATGTTTAGGACTACGGCTAAAGTTTTAAGGCTATTATGTTCAACAAAGCAGAGTTAATTTGTCCCATGTATTAATTCTTTCATAAATTAATTCATAGACTCATTTGTACAAAGAATGGTGTGAAAAGGGAAAAACATCCAGTATGCAATTCTGTGGGCGAAAATGCCTTGTTGATGCTAGAGGTCAGAGGAGAATGGGCCGACTGATTCAAACTGATAGAAGAGCAACTTTGACTGAAATAACCACTCGTTACAACCGAGGTATGCAGCAAAGCATTTGTGAAGCCACAACACGCACAACCTTGAGGCGAATGGGCTACAACAGCAGAAGACCCCACCGGGTACCACTCATCTCCACTACAAATAGGGAAAAGAGGCTACAATTTGCAAGAGCTCACCAAAATTGGACAGTTGAAGACTGGAAAAATGTTGCCTGGTCTGATGAGTCTCGATTTCTGTTGAGACATTCAGATGGTAGAGTCAGAATTTGGCATAAACAGAATGAGAACATGGATCCATCATGCCTTGTTACCACTGTGCAGGCTGGTGGTGGTGGTGTAATGGTGTGGGGGATGTTTTCTTGGCACACTTTAGGCCCCTTAGTGCCAATTGCGCATCGTTTAAATGCCACTGCCTACCTGAGCATTGTTTCTGACCATGTCCTTCCCTTTATGGCCACCATGTACCCATCCTCTGATGGCTACTTCCAGCAGGATAATGCACCATGTCACAAAGCTCGAATCATTTCAAATTGGTTTCTTGAACATGACAATGAGTTCACTGTACTAAAATGGCCCCCACAGTCACCAGATCTCAACCCAATAGAGCATCTTTGGGATGTGGTGGAACGGGAGCTTCGTGCCCTGGATGTGCATCCCACAAATCTCCATCAACTGCAAGATGCTATCCTATCAATATGGGCCAACATTTCTAAAGAATGCTTTCAGCACCTTGTTGAATCAATGCCACGTAGAATTAAGGCAGTTCTGAAGGCGAAAGGGGGTCAAACACAGTATTAGTATGGTGTTCCTAATAATCCTTTAGGTGAGTGTATATGTCTCGTCTGTGGAAGGTACAATATGATGTCCTACCTGCCTGTCAGCGTATGTATTTCCATTTCTCCGTGAGTAAACGAGTAAACAGGACTGATTATATTTTATTTGGACTTTAAAACAAAGATTAGTCAATAAAACAGAAATCCTGAATCAAATGCTCAAATATATATCATATTTCATTAAATTCAATGAATAATCTCAGATAGTAATTCACAACATCTGGAGACAGAAGCCAGGGAAGAAAAATAGAACAGAACATGTAGATAGAATAGAAATAGAATAGAACAGAACAATCTAGTATTAAGAAAAATGAATAAGTGATAAGAGATTCTTTAAACAGTAATGCAGTATTTGAAAATACAGAGGAGAGTAATCTAGTGGATTAAGTCTTGTGTGTACACTGCATGAGCCATTGCTTGAAATTAGCTGAGTCACAAGCTGACAGCTTGTATGGAGATGGGTAAATTGACCTATAAATAGATCCCTGAAGCTTTTAATTAGCGAGTATCAAGCCTGATCCATTGAGGTGAATCAAAGTCATTTTTCAGACAGTTTAATGACTGTGAGGTGCTGCTTGTTCACATCTGTGGAAAACTAAAGGTGGTTCTGTAATTCATTCTGTTCCCCTCTCCACAGATTGATGTAACAGCGTCTGAGTTCGCTTCGTTCCTCCTTGACTCTCTCCAAGGCCATGGCTGTGAAACCAGAGGCACAATTTATACACAGCTCTCAGAAGGATGTGACATATTTTTCCAGAAGAGGACAGTGAGAAGAGTATGTGTTTGTGGAATGCTGTACGTAGTCTACTGAGTGCCAGAGTGCATGAGTCTGTGAGGACATTAAAGGTCACTAAATTAGAAGTGTTCTTAAACATGGTAGCCCATGAGTGTGAACATGTGCAAGGGTTTGAGGAAATCTCAGACTTACTGTTTGTTTTTATTTTGCTTCTATACCTCCTCATAGCGTTTGTGTACAATGTCATTAGAGTGTGACAGTAAGCCAGCATTACAGCTCTAGTTCAGTGTGCACATGTGTGCCTATGGTCACGTAGCACAGCTGGCCTGTCAGTGCGCATGCACGCCGCTGCGGCTGCTTTACTGGCCATTTGTCAGTTTCACGGTCAGTGACCGTCATGGCTCTCTTGGGTAGGCAGGTCCCCCTGGGCTTTCCCCCCAGCTTTGCGCTAGGTCTCAGGCTCTCCGAGCTTCTGCGCCTCTCATCTCCTCAATAACATATTGACCCAACGGTCCTCGGCACATTACCTGTTCCCGAGGCAGCCCTGACAAGGCCAATGGCAGGGATTTGCTTTCAAAAGTCTCTACCCTGGGCATTCAGACATATAATCCAGATTCATAATACTATTTTGTTCACCTGCTTCAATTGAAAACATTTACCCTTCATAAATATTTCATACAGCCCATGAAACTGTACTTTATATTGTGTGATTATGTTTTCCAAGGGCAGTTTTACCTTTGCAAGATTTTTTTTGAATGTATGCATCATCTTTTAAGTGGAATTCTTAAATATAAATGTATACATAATTTTTTTTTTTTTTAAACAAATTCTGTTAGAATTATATGACACAACTGGGTTTCACCTTGTAAACGTAAATACACAAAAACAGTGTACGAGGTTTGAGGTCATTATTCAAAATGCCTTCTGTCATTCCTTCCCTTGATAATTATTATATTATTTATATAATGTAGATATACACATAGGTTATGAATTATTATGAATCGTCAAGTTGCCAGCACTAGTCAATAAGTACGATTATGCAGATACTTAATATGTATTTTAAGTAAATAGCATTAATAGCAAATAGCAAATATAAACATACAATATAAAACAGACTTCATATGTAGGGCAAAATGTCTAAACCTTTTAAGAAGAGTGCTATGCAAACATCGAGGGAACTCTACACTGCGTCGAGAATCGACTCTTTGGGGACGCTCCCTTAGCATGCGCCTCTGAAGTATGAATGAAACTATTCCAATCCTGATTGGTGTTGCGTCATGACGTAACTTGTGACGGCATAACCGGATGCATAAAAGCGACGCCGGAACAAACACAAACTAGCTTTCGCTCTTCAGCAAGCGCTCTGTGTTGAAAACTGTCTGTCTTATTTGGTGTTGTTTGTCTCAGAAAGTTTGATTTAATGGCCAGCGAACAATTTAAAGCATGCGTGCACCCCTGCCCTCGTTATATCACGGGTGGGGACACACATGCTTTATGTGTAAATTGTTTGGGAGCGCAGCATGCACGGGCAGCTCTCGAGGGAGCTGCTTGTGCAGACTGTGAAGCACTTCCCATCAGAGTGCTGCGCTCCCGGCTGGCGTGCTTTGATGAGCACGGTCAGGCTCGCGTTCCCCACGGTTCTGGTCCCGCGTCCGTTGAGGCGGCGCGGCGATTGAGATCGTGGGGTTCGCAGCGGGACCTCAGCGCCGGGGTTTTCCGTTTTTCCCCGATCTCCACAAAGAGATCTCGAGATTGTAGGATAAACCGCACTCGTCCCGTGTCTCCAATCCCAGTATGGTGGATTACAGTAATGTTATGGGGGCACGGGACATGGGTTATGGGAAGATAC